CTAGTATACATTGGAAATCATTAGTTAAATAAATTACAGCGTACTAATTAACTGTTTTGTTTTAACCTAATTATATACTTTCCCTGTAATTAAAATCCCGACAATATGTAAGAAAATGTTTTTAATATAATATGTTATTATCCACTTTGCCACAATACCTCTAAATTTTTTTAAAAATTTAATTTCGGACAGGATCTCGATCTTTTCGAGTAAAATCTCCACCTTTCCACATTATCCCACTCTCAAATTATTATATACTTTTTTTATTTAATATCGGTTAGATTCTGGACCTTTGAGAGACGAAAGGCCGAGAGAAAAGACGAAAAGAACGAAAGCAAAAAAACTTTCACTTTTCCAGATTAAACCATTTTCGAATTTTTATTTTTATTTTTTATTTAATGTCGGGCAGTTTCTCGTCCTTTGAGGGCCGAAAGGCCGAGTATCACCCCCACTTTTAAACATTAACACTCTCTCAAATTATTATAATTAATTTTACATCGTTCATATCATAATTTAGCTAAGTTTTAAGTTAAGGTGCGCAATATTAATATAAACAGAATGTGGCTGATATATTGTCCTGATACTTTAATAATGACGAGTATACTCATGATGTTATATTTTTTGTTTCTCACAGCTACTCTATTACTAATCGCTGTTGTTGCACCCAGAGTCAAGCATATTGATTGGTTTGGGTCGGATTCTCAAGATAATGGAAGTTTAGGAAATTTTGAAATAACTTTTTTAATTGCCTCGAGTCAATTATTTGTTGCCAGTTGTTCTAAACGCTTTTATGTGAAAATGTGTTGTAATTTGTATTTTTAAAATAAGAATGAATTTGTCGATCTGTAATGAAATTGTCGACTGTCAATTTTAAGAAACAATAATCTAGCTTTAAAATTACTGGCAGGTAAGCATAAACTTGCAGATTAAATATAAAAAATCGAGTATTAATCAATTCCAATTTTGAGATTCTAATTTCAAAATTTTTTATATGATAATAAATAAGACTAGTGAAAAAAATCAAACCTTAATTTACATTTTAAAAAACAATTGAAACCGAATAATAATAAATTATGAATGTAAAAAAAAAACCGTTTGTGGTAAATATATAAACCCAGAATATTTGTCCGTATGTTAGAGCAATGAACAAATAGTTACAGAATAGTTTTTCTAACGACTTCAATGTTGCAATGAATACATGCATTTAAAGAGCTACTATTTAGTACACATACGAGTGACTGACTATGTCATGAGGTTTTGCATCATTAGGTTGCAATTGCCTTTGTCTCATTAATCGAGGTCGGTGCAGTATATTTTACCACTGACAATATGAACCGCATCATCAACTATTATATTTCAGTCAATTTTATATTATATTCTATTTATAATATGAATGTATTTACGAAAAATAATAATATCTACATACTTGTATCTAGTATCCATAACACAAGCTTTAGCTAGCTTAACTTGGATCTAGATGCCACTGTGTGAATTGTTCTGAGATTATTTATTATATTTCAGCCAATTCTTTATTTATAGGTACATACTGAATGAGTTATAAAATAATTACTGTTTGAGATTCTTCACGGTTCTTTTCAACTGAAGTAGCCGGACGATAGGGATAGTAATAAAAAAAATAGACGTACATGAGTGGCAAAATAACGGAAATTAATAAATAATTCTGCTATTGACTTTATTAATTTACTAATGGCGGACGGCTTTCAACATGCACATATGAAAGAAAGAAAAACATTTGTTTACTACCATTGCATTTACATATTCATATAACAATAGATTATATTTCATACCTGGCTGGTTGGTATATTTTTTTTCTGTTAACATTTTTGGCCTCCATCTTTATCAAATAATTCTTTATCTAATTTATTCTTTGCCAAATAATAATGTAGCAGTGTAATTATTATATGCAAGTATTAGTTGTTAGTAAATTTCTTTCTTTCTTTCACAGCTTTTCATTGGTCATCGTCTCCATTTACATGCATCTTTCGTAATCATTACCTTCTTAGAATGGTTTCCGTTCCTCCGCCTGACATGACCATACCAAGATAATTGGTCACTTCGCAACTTAATAGAAGTTACTGGCGCAACTTTCTGACTATCATATATGGATACTCATTTCTTACTATGCCGTCATAATTAGCTAGGTATTCAAAGTAAGGAACATACTCATTACTTTTATAATATTTGTATGGAATAGCTGTTGCCAAGATTTTGTATGTGTGATATTCTATACTTGGATACTTAATGTATTTCTGCAATGGTGCCATTCAATTATTTCTCTTATTGTATAGCTAACTATGGTGAATATAGTCCAAAGGTTAACTTCAAAAGTATAAAAAAATTACCTTTATTCATGTTGGTTTATTACAGTCTAACCTACCGTCAGTTCGGAGTGCTTTAGAGCTAAGAACTGCTAAGAAACTCAGCGGTTATTCTTTTCAAATAACTATATACATTTTTAAATTTAAATTAGGGAGAATAGGGTGACTACCAGCATTGCATTTCGGATTATTCTAATACTGTTAGCCGCAGCAGGCCTCTACAGCTTCACTGAACGATAGGGGGCGAGTGCTGATATTTCAACCCGCGGAAGGACTTTTGTAGCGGCTGATGTCCAACTCTTGCCTGACGGGTACGAATTTGGTCTGAGGGCTTGACAAGGGGTTCGAACCTCGGCTGAGGCTGTTGTAATTTTGATCCCCGTTTAAATTGGATGGGAAGGGCGCTATTGCAGTGATGAGCTCTACTTGCGTTGATATATTAATTTCAAGAGCATTGAATCATATAGCAGTGAAATTATTAGCTATAAAGATATTACTCCACGTGTCCAGAGTTGGTTTAAGTTAGACAGAATCTTCGTAGAAAACTTAGCAGAAACTAACTGGGGGCGTAGCTTAGGGCGTGTATTACGACGGACCTCTGAATGTTGGTATATATGGTGGTTAGATGTTATATCACACCTAACCACCATATATGGAGATTATTCTAAAATGAAAACTTACTTCAAAAGTACTTGAAATCTTTTATTAAAAAGATTAACAAAAAAGGTTCACATCCCTGGAAGTGGAGATATTTCGTAATAAAAATAAAGAATTAAGAAAAATATCTTCTATTATAATTTAAAGTATAAAAATAAAAATTATAGTAAACATTACGAATTTTTGGTAAAAAAAAAATGCTTTAGTTAATGTTAATAGGATATTATTAAAAATCAACGTAGTGCCATTCACCTGACATTTTAGAATGTACGTAAAACATTTTATGTAAATATTTAGAGTTTTTCAAGGTTTTTATATTTTGATGTTCTGACTCACTAATCCATTATTTAATTAACATGTTGGAGCATCTAATTTCATAGTGACGTCATGGTACGACCTCTAATACCTACTAATATATAATTTATAGAATGTGTGTATGCCAAAATCGTAGTATAAAAAATAAATACCAATACAACCTATAAACGCCCGCCTGTAGAGAAACGAAGTTATTTTTTATGTATTTGGTACGAAAAAGAAACTAAAAATTACTTTTTGTAAGTTAAATATAATAGTTAATTATTATAATATAATAGTTGGTGCTGACCTTTTTGTAGGCATTATAAAACTTTACAACTTGTTTTTAGAAATCAATCATAACAATGTATTTAACATGGCACACAAAATATATAACAGTTTACCCGCAGATTTGATAGAATTGACAGGACATAATTTTAGAAATAAATTGACCAAATGGCTGTTAGCACACTGTTATTTAATCTCTGGACGATTATTTCAATTATAAATAAAAATAAAGTAATAATAATTGTAATAATCTATCATTTTAAATATGTAATGTTAATCTAATTGTTATAATGTAGATATTAATATATGTCATTATTAAGTGTATTAATAAAATTTGTATGCCTACTGAAAAAAGGCTTATTACAGCGCAGCCTACTACTGTCACTGGGGCTTTAGATATTGTTATGTGCATGTCTGTCTGTAATGCGAATAAATGACTTACTTACTAACCATCTCATCGTTAAGGCAGGTTCAAACAAAATTCTTTATAATCAGACTACGCAGATGGATTTGTAAATCTAAATATACCTATATAACTCAAAGGTGACTGACGTAGTGATCTATCAACGCACAGCCCAAACCACTGGACGGATCGAGCTGAAATTTAGCATGCAGGTAGATGTTATGACGTAGGCATCCGCTAAGAAAGGATTTTGATTAATTCTAACCCCAAAGCGATAAAATAGGGGATGAAAGTTTGTATAAAACTTTGTCAATTTTAAACCGATCGAGCTGAGACTTTGCATGCATAAAGCTACTATGACGTAGCCATCCCCTAAGAAAGGATTTTGATAAATTCCACCCCTAAGAGGATAAATTAACGCGAGCGAAGCCGCGGGCAAAAGTTAGTAATAATAATAAACCTGGACGCTGGCGCTGTGTAATTCACACTCTGCCATCAGCCATCTGCTCTCAAGCTAAGCAGAGCTCGTATTATGGGTACTAGACAACTGATACAAATGGATTAGTAGATTTTTTTGTAACTATATATAGAAAACACGCAGATTGATATAAACAATCTTACTCATGATTACAAATGTACCGTGCTATGAATCAAACCTGCGACCATCAGAAGTAAGGCGGTATGCTAAACCAGTAAACCACCGAGGCCGTCTAATGTACCTTGGCTGAACTTCTATACCTAATGCGTAATACAACTCAACAAAGGTAAATATGATAATATCAAAACTCCGTGTCATGCCAATCAGCTATTTTGCGAGTACATACAGTTATGTATCTATCACGAACACAGCAATAGGTGTACCGTCACCCATTCTCTTTTCATTCACGACTTCCACCTTGATACTTGCAAAACCGCCCTTACTACGTTTTCTACGCAGCTTTCCATAGTAAATGACCTGTAAACAAATTCGTAACCGCAAAAAGTCATATTCAGTGCTTTGTATAGGAAACCGGACTCACCGTTCGCCCCACCAGGCCGCCGGCGCGAGTAGTTTCGCTTGGGTAGCTCACTGCGCCGCGCGCCGCCATTCAAAGATGGCCGCTGTTCTATTTGTCTCTGGTCCTCGTCGGCATTTTCCTCTTTTCTACTACTTTGGTACTTGAATTTGGACTTCGTTCTTCGCGTGTACTTGGTTGTGGTGGCATCTGTGCTAACGGGATCCGTGTTAGACTCTGTGGCGTCTGGAGAGCTGGTGGCTTTGTTCCGCCGGAGTAGCTGATTTCGACGTTCTTTCAAGCTCTGTGGAAGGAAAATGACGGTTAGTAAAACTTTTTAATTATCTGTAAATACATATCTATTTATAAAAGTAAAATAAGCAGTAGCTTATATGATCGTAAACAGTTATCGTACCAATGGAATACAACCGGAATAGTATAAAATATTATTATAAAAATTAAACAAATTAAAATATATAGCTATGTTTAAATTATATACATATATCATTATACACAATACATCTCAATTAAAGGAATGAGAAAACGAATACATATATTATTTTTTCTATTCATAATTTTATTTTCTATACAATGTAAAATATTAATTTACAAAAAAGAATCTAGAACAAATTACAATAGTTCTATATATAATAATATTTTTAATGTGTAATCTTTGTATATATAAGTTATATGAAATGAATATTTCATATAACTTGAACATTATTAAGTAAGGTTTTAATTATGGTATAAAATCTAATACACCTATAAAATCATGAATATTATAATAAATTGTAAAATTTGGTATGATCGTTTATAAAATATTTATATGTGATTATTATAAATATTAATTTTATTTAAATTAACTTTATTGAATCTTGTTGATTAGTAATAATTTAGGAATGTTGTTCACGGAACTGACAATTAAAATATAGTAAAAATAAATCTAGCGCCTTTAATAATATGGATATATATTTATATTATTAATATTAACTACTTATTATTAATTAAAAAGTATAATATAAGAAATAACCATTTTTTAATATAATGTAACTACGGCAATTTATGTGAGCTCTACATATGATAATAAATTCTGCTTATGAAATAGTTTTAGAAAAATAAGTTTTAGTATATTGTTTTGGTTACTAGAGCGATTTCTTGTAAGCTCTACATATGAAAGTATGTTCTGTATATGAAATAGCGTTAGAAAAAATAGTTTTACTATAATTTATTTAATATTTATACGTTTCTTAAATTGATTAAGTACTTGAATATGTTTATTTGTAGATTTAAGTTCAGCATGCTCTCTGATTAACATTTAATTTTGCTTCAAGAGTTATTGTTAAGTAATTTATTTGTAAATATTTCACTGTGCGTAATAAAGTGTGATGTTATTATGAATATTATTTAAATATAAACATAATAGGTAAATAAATTCATGATTATTGTTAAACTATAATGTTCATAAGTATTATTGCATATATCAATACAATAAATATTGTTATTTATGAATACTATTTTTGACTCCAAATTAATTTATTCTTTATCCATAGATTTTTATCACCAATGTCCGGATAGTATTGTGTAATAATTACGTAAAAACTGATTTGAATTTGTAATTGAGTTAGATAATAATTATTAATTTAAATGTTGGTTTCACATGCAAATGTAAATGACACAAAACACGAATAAGAGAGTGAGTTGTTCTATTATCTTACTAATATTATAAACGCGAAAGTTTGTGAGTATGGATGGATGTTTGTTACTCTTTTACGTAAAAACTACTGAACGGGTTTTGTTGAAACTTTACAGTAATATAGCTTATACGTCAGAATAACACATAGGCTATAATTTATTTTAGATATTTTGTAAATTGAGCGAAATATATTGTTAAGTGTGATACAGACGAAGTTACGCGGCTCAGCTAGTATAAAATAAAATCTGTACTTTTTAACGTACTGTATTAAATTTTGAATATATTATATACATATATATTAATATAATATTGAGCACACGTACTATTATACTATACATGTACATATATGTATATAAAAATACAGTAAATTATATATACATCTTTACAATTTTACGGACTTTATTAGATAAGATTATTACAGACAAATTCGAGACAAAATATCGAAACTAGAAAGCCTATGTACTCCACAATAAATAATAATCCTGCTCCTAATACCTAATAGTAGTTATAACATATATATTATTAAAAATATATTATAACTATAAAATAAAAATAGCAGTTCTGGCGAACGTTGTTGTGCCATTCAAACTAGTATCGCTATTAAAAAATAGGAATTAATAGTGGAAGGGCAAAAGTGTAAATAATTAATTGAGTTCTATGTATTTTTAATGTCGAATCATAAAATAATTGTTTAATTTATTAAAATAACTTAGCCTATTCTCAGACCAACTGACCGACCGACTGAACATATAAAATCATCTAAATCAGTTTACCCGTTTCGGGACGTATGGCAACTTACTGCGGTAGATTGAAAAAAATGTGATGACTATTCAAAAGTGTTGTAATGTAAGTTTATTTGAATAAATGATTTTCTATTCTATTCTACTGTAACACGAGAATTTTATATATATATATATCGTACCTACGTATATAAAACGTAGAAATTTACTCTTGCTTTTTATTTATTGTACATGTTCAAGGAATTGAACACTTTAATAAATTCCACATAAGTATGTTATTAATTTTATTAATACTTATTTAATTGCAACTTTCGCTCACTTTTGCATTTTAAATTCAGAATTTCTCTCTTTGTTTAATTAATGTATAATGTATAATTATCATTTCACATTTTTTTGCATAATTTTATGGTTTTGTGGCTTTAGAAACCAAACTAGTTAAATATACCCGTTGGTATACAGGCATATTTTAAAATGTATTTAAAATATAAATAATAAGCAGTACTTAACTGCTGTTTATATAATTTGGCAATGAATATATATATTATACTATTGACCCGCCCCAACTTCGCATGGATGCATTACAAATATTTTTCGGTTTTCTTGTTTTTGAATCAAGTAATTAATAATATCTAAGAGTACAGACAGCAGTGGAGATTTTGTTTTATACTATGTAAGGATTAAGTAGTTAAGTTTGTATAAACAGTTGAATAATTATCTATATAATCTTGTAGTAATCATACACGGTTCAATACAAAATCATACGTTATTATAAAGGTTAGTCAGTATACGAAGACAAAAATCGGATGTAATTCTAAAAATAAAACCAATTACAATAACTAAAAACTAATTGTGGATATGCCAAATCTTATAGAAATATATAATGTTGCCAGTAAAATATAGTTGCATTATGCTAAGTACACAATATCAACGTAATTCTGATCAAACAAAAAATAAAAAAACAGGTATTGCACATTTCTAGTTTACGAGTAATAAATCCCACGAAGTCAGTTACGAGAAAGGACATAGAAATAGATAAAAAAACTAAACAGCTATTACGAATAGACACCTAATTACTTAATTGCTTAGAAATCGGCACGTTGAATGCAATTTCCAAAGTCACATTACGCATAGTAAGGTAACGATGTGGCAAAAAAATAATCAAAAGAATCTGGATCTCGGATGAATGTAGCGTATACCTTTGCCTTTTATGGATTGGAAGTAGTTTCTGTACCTACCTAGTCTATGGTTATTGTAGTAATTTAAAAACTTACGAAATATAAACTTTCTAGAAAGAATTTTTTAGAATAAATAAAATTTGTATTTCGAAAGATAGGTTTTCAACTTGACTTTGATTTGGTATTTTTGTGTTTATTACACATATATGTATACATAGAAAATACCGTATATTACTATGTATACATATATATAGATCTCTCTTTCATGCGTTGCATTCCTGAGAATTAAACTGTAAAGCAACATAATTTTATGTAAAACAAAGTGAATCACTACTATTTCGAGATTTGCCAGTCGGAGGTATCTAAGTTACCTACACATTTAAATGCGGGCTTGTACTAGTAGATAGATAGATAGATAAATCATTTGTTTGTATCGTCAACACTTATACAACGAAGCTGAAATGATAACAGTAATTAGAAAGCAAAAAAATTTAGAAGCATTTATTTTTAAGTTAATTTATTACCTATACTACCATTAATTACCAAGCGCAAACCCATTAAATGTAAAAAAAAATATAGATATTTTTATATTTTATTAATTATTGGTATATAATCGTCCGATCATACTCGGATCCTCTGTTACCTTATCGTATGGGCTAGGCAAATTTGTTTACCACATTGCAATAAACTAGCCTAGAGGCTAGTCTCTAGCCTTATTATCTGTCACACAGTCCGTCCATCTCTTTATATATCTTTCTCTACCTTTTCAAATGTTCACATTCATATATATATTTATATATATATAAATTTTTTCAAATTTGAAATGTTTTTAGAAATATATTTTTTATCACGATTACCAATAAATACATAGGATTTTTACCAATCATAATATGGTAAATAAGTTGATTAAGTTTCATAGAAACCAATAGATAAAGAGAAATTCTATAATTTTATGTATTTTATATACATAAAATTATATGTATTTTTCTTAACAGGAATTAATATTATATAAATATAACTAAAACAGACAAACTAAAGAGCGAACGCTGCCAGTATCTTCGGAACGTTGCCTAAAGGGACCCTTTTAATAATATATTTTAGTCATTATATATTTTTTTAAGCTTTTTAATTTTAGGTTCTTAGTTGTACAATTAGGTTATGTAAATACTAGTAATAAATTTAAACTAAAACAAATACATGTATTCATAAAGTGATACGTAGATATACACATATATAGGTAGTCTTAAGGATAACATCGGCATTTATATTCAAGGCGATCAAGTCTCTTCCACTGCTGAACTTGTAAGGAATTCATTAATAATATGACCACATCTGTTGTTGTATAAAACACGCGATACTCGGTATTTTCTGATGATTATTCATTTATTATACTCTGTATTACAAGGTTTTTATTTCTTTTTTTCTGTAATAGTAACATTTGGATGTTATTTTAATCATTTGTATGTAAAAGTATCACTTCGCCAATTTGTATAGAACAGACGTGGAATTCTTTCGTATTCTAAATAAGTAGGTTTCCTTTGTTATTGCCACAAGAGTCGATATTAGGGCTGTGGAATTTGGATTTTTTATATACTGATATTGCGAGTTACAGATGCAAGTTTAGCTATACAGTTCGCAAATATAGCTACGCATAATAATTTAAACGTATTTAAAAGTAAAAATTGTTACTGTCCAC